GAGAGGCCTACCATGCGCTTGTAATCAATAAGGGCCATGGCCACCGCGCAGTGTTTACATGCGGCCACGGGCGCAACGTGTTCAGCGGCAGCCAAGGTTTGCGGCAGGCGTCTACGCATTCTACACGAGAGGATCTCACACTTTTCCCCCATTGGAAGTACGAGAGAGTATGGCCCATCCAGCCAGTATGGCCTCCCGTACTGAATTCAAGACCATTCCATGTAGACCGTGCCTGGGACCGCATCCGCCACAGACATCTGGGGCATGGTACACGTATATCTAGCTTTCATGGCCAAACCCTTCGGGTGGCTGGACCTGAAGGCTAGGCTTCTGCTGGAAACCGGGGGGGATCGGGTTTGGGTGGCAGATCTTCAAGAGGACATCTCTGATGGACGGGTAGGAGTTCCTCCAGAGAGGTTGCGCGTGAGGGGGCTTGTGAACAGCCGACGGTGCAGCCAATCTTGGGCCCCACACTCGCAGCGGGGATAGTTCTTCTACCCGGCTTGATGTAGCCTCCACCTGGTCCACATGCATTGCGTGAGGAAGGCGTGCAGCATCGACTTTTAAAGATCGCTCTGCCTCGGGCCGGCGCTGGCCACAGATGTACCCGGGCGCCCGTCAAGACCCAACATCGACGCCGCTAGTCTGCCTTCTTCGCGAGTCCAGCTTCATGCACTTCTGCCTTTCCGTTCTTGGGGGACGTGGTGGTTCAGTGCAGCTCCTCGCCCACCTCAGCGCGCAGGAGGAGAGCCGAGCGACAACTCCATGATATTCTCGTCAAGCCCACAGAGAAGCTGCTCCAACAGGGCTGCGGACTTGCTTCCAGGTGCCAGGTGGCTTCGCGAGGATCGGGGTCACCAGGGCGTCAATTCTGCTACACTGAAGGCCTGGGTGTTGGCGGTGGCTCGCCAAACGAAACTTCCCCAGGAATTCTGCTACACTGAAGACCTTGAGGTTTGCGGTGGCTCGCCAAACCAAACTTCCTCTGGGCCCAGGGCTAATGACCACGTGGGGTCATTATGGAGCAGCAGGTATACCGTTTTGCTTGAGCCGTCTCCCCAGGATCCAGCCCCACCACCTCTGCCCAGAAGTACCCGCACGCTTCCAAGCACGATGTGTACGTAGCGCTGGTCCATATCAGCACCTCCCCTCTCGGGGCTCAAGAGACGGGGGTCGATGCAAATGGGGGTCAGTCGGGGTGCCAGATCTTGCAGGATCCTGGAGAGCCACGGGTGCATTGACCCGGGCTTGTGCGCAGGATCCTGCAGGATCCTGTCGGATGTTGCGGGATCCTGCAAGGCCTGACTGACCCTGGTCTGGATTGACACGTGTCAGTAGATCCCCGACCCTCCGCATTGCCGCCAATATCTTCTTCCTTCCTTTGAGGTCGTCTGAGCGTTCCTGGACCGCCAGTCGGCTGCCTTTCTCGAAACGGAGTTGCCCTGCAAATGTTGCACTGCCCAGGTTCGTTGCTCATCTTGCTTTTGAGCCCGCATATGTCCCCATTGTTGTCGCTCGATTGCGGTGCAGGGTATCACACGATGAAATGACGGCAGGTTTCCGAGTAACCACCGCGCAACCCAGCTCGACCTCAATTTGGTGCGTTACCAGGTATAATTGCTGACGGCCTGAATCAGACAAAGCCAGTCGTCAATTTATAGAGGCAGGGGTACATGCTTCCATACGTTAATGTACATCGCTGCAGGAGTTTTGTATGAGCAAAAACCCCATACAGTTGCGAAGTGTAGCCTGGCAGCACTCCATGAAAAGGGATGAGCTGCTTCCTGAACAAGAGTGAGGAGACCAACTACGTTTTGCTTTTAGGCTGGTACATGATCACGATGGCCGCTAAGTCCTTCATGTTGAAGCCCGTGTCCCTTGCCCTTGCCCATGGAACGCCTCGGTCAAACAGTTCATATTCGTTAGCGGTGTCGCGCAAGGCACATGATGTGCGGGTTGGGCTTGGCGTGTATTTCTCATGTTCCGTTTCCAGGGGTTGCTCAAGACCGCTTCCCTAAGACGGATCTCCCCTTCTTGCGGGTACGGGCTTCAGGGTGTGTCTAGCTTCCCGCCCCCCGGTTACAACTTGTTTCAGTTCTAGACGCGTCGCGTAACACCACCAGCCCATCCAGAAACGATGCCCACGGGAGTTGCCCTGATCAGTGATGTGTAGGGGAATGCAGTTGAATAGGGGGCCGAGGAAGCCGTCGTACCCAAGGATGGGGAAGGTGGAGAAGGAACCGGTGGAAGGGGAGGAGGAGGAAGATGCGGATAATGGCAAGCAGAGAGGCCAGATGCCTCTTGGATGCTCGGAGTCTCTTCGGGTTTATCTTGGGAGCTTCTTGGAGTACTCTGGGGACGTCTTTGGGGCGCCTGACGGTCGCAGGGGCCTCTTGGAGCGTCGTGGGTGCCTCGGCGGGCCTCTTGGAGGTCTCTGGGGGGCCTGTTGGGGGACCTCTTGGGGGCCTCGTGGGACCTCCTGGGCGCCTCGGGGCCCAGTTGGGGCGCACTTGCGAGCATTGGGGGCCGTCTTGAGGCCAGCTGGGGGAAGTTCGGTCGAAGAAGCCGGAGTGCTCAATTGGGGTCCCCCCCCCAGGAGGCCCAAATGAGCCCAGGACCTTAGGAACACCAGCGGTTGTTGATTTCTCGCTGAAGCCATCTTGGACGCTCAAATGGGTCGCGGGGTGCCCCGTCCAGGTCCAGGGGGGATGGCAGGGGGAGTGGTCAGGCTACCCTCCCTGCCCGCAAGCCGTCTCGCTCACTCCCACCCCGCTTCATCCGAGCCTCAGCATGTTCAGCGGCCGTCTACAGATTGACGACGATGGGGATGATGATGAGGATGAGGATGGGGATGATGGGGATGATGACGATGATGATGATGATGATGATGATGATGATGATGATGATGATGATGATGATGATGATGGTGGTGGTGGTGGTGGTGGTGGTGGTGGTGAGGACGATGTGGTGATGATGTTTTGATGATGATGCTGACGATGCTGATGATGTTGATGTTGATCTGGATGTTGATGTTGATGATGCTGATGATGCTGATGCTGATGATGGTGATGGTGGTGGTGATGATAGTGGTATTCTGATGGTGATCATCATCCTCAACATCATCATCACCATCGTTATCATCATCATCATCCTCATCCTCATCCTCATCATCGTCATCATCATCATCATCGTCATCATCATCATCATCATCATCATCATCATCATCGTCGTCGTCATCACCATCATCATCATCATCATCATCATCATCATCATCATCATCATCATCATCATCATCATCATCATCATCATCATCATCATCATCATCATCTTCTACTGGGGGCCATCAGAGACCCCGTGTCCGTGCCCCTCGGGCGAGGTGCGCCACGTGTGCCAGGCTCGCCACGCGCGCCAGATGCGCCAGGCACCCCAGGGGCCCAGGCGGTTCTTGTGGACTGGCCTCCACTGCGTGCACTGGCGGGTTGGCGGTCCGTCGCTCGCTCGGGCCCCATCGCTGCCACTGAACTGTCCGGCAGCCTATCCAGGATCGTCGCAGGGGCCACGAGGACGCCCCCCACAGTCTCCAGGAGCATGGCCTGCTGGATTGATCTCATTGCTCCACAGATCTCAATCAAAAATTGTGCCGGGTGGATCTCGGCGGGGGCCGAATGTAGGTCGTCCAATTGCCCCAAGGAGGAAGTCTGTCGTGTTGCCCAGGCTGTGATCGAAATGCATATTTACCAAATTCATGCGACTTCCAAGGCAGCCTTTCTGTTTTAGTTTCGATATCAGCAGGCACTGAGATGATTTCTAGTGGGCTTCTTCTGTGCGTAGTCTGATTCACGCGGGTGTCTGTAGCCCGAGCCAGTGCCTTTTCCATATTCTTGGCAAGTCGACTGTGGACGTGATCCATCGCTTCCCGTCTCATCTCCTCGTCGCGCTTCCCTCCCTCGCACAACTGCTCAAACTGCCTTGTGATGGCCTCCAAACCTTCCCATGGGATGCTCTCCAGCTGGGGCCCAAAGGGCGCGGAGGTGGGGAGGGGCTGTTCCTCCCCAAGCGCAGGCGCCGAGGGGCTCTGCGGAGCAACGCTCGAATAGGTGGCGTGGGCATTGGGGGGAGGTTGGATACGCATCGATTATTGACACCCGCATGTGCTCTGCCAGTAATACCGAAACCATGACACAGGTTACCACCGACTTCCTGTTCCTGTTTAAAGCGTGGGTTCTTCCGTGTCAGCGATCTGGAGGGGAAGCCCTTTCCGAGAAATCCGTGGCATGGATTCGTTCTGGCTTGAGGTTAAAACTGCTTCCAGCTGCCAGTGGCAACTCGCATTCTGCCTGAAGCTGCGCAAGCGTATATAGTAGAAAAAGGCTGGTCTGCCCAAGGCCACGATTGTCCTGGAAGTAACCAGTAGCAAACATGAAGTCGGGAAACTATGCGATCTCATCCACAACCGCTGCAAACCTGTGCGGGAGACCATCCTCTACTTCAGCGTGCGAGGGTTGCGCTTTGATATTGCAACCACTCCGGGGGGAGGTGGTGGAGGAGAAGGAGGAGGAGCAGGAGGAGGAGGAGGAGGAGGAGGAGCAGGAGGGGGATGGGGGAGCAGAGGGGAGAAGGAGCGGGAGGAGGACCCGCTGGCACAGGTGGCTGTCAGACGCCGCGCCGGGCTTGGGAAAACATACTGACTCCTTTAGCGTCCAGTTCGACGCTGATGCAAAGTCGCACCCCTGTTGGCGACACCTCAGGACGGGCTGAGTCGCTGGCAGAGTCCCGGAGCTCGCATGACATATTTTGTTGAGGGGGAGAAATAAAGAGAGGAAGGGGAAAAGGAGGACGAGGAAATTCGAGGAGGAAGAGGAGGAGCAGCAGGAGAAGGAGGAGGAGTTGTAGGAGGAGGAGGAGGAGGAGGGGGGGGAGAAGGAGGAGGAGGATGAGGATGAGGAGAAGGAGGAGGAGGAGGAGGAGGCGAGAGCAGGATGAGCGCCCACGCCGCACAGGCGCGGCCAGGGCATCTCCGCGCCCGTCCACGCAACGGCCAGGGCTCGCCTCGGCAGGGACAGGCGCCCCCTGCCCCTGCGGGGAGTTCCCCGCCCGCCCCGCTGAACGCGCGCGCGCGGCTACCGAGGCCCTTCAACACTTGAGCCAGCCTCCTTCCCCTCGTCCCCCTCCTGACCCTCCTCGTTGTCGTCGTCGTCGTCGTCGTCCTCCTCCTCCTTCTCCTCCTCCTTCCTCTCCTCCTCCTCTTCCACCTCCCCCGTAGCCATTTTGGCTCAAGATGCAGGTTTCCCCTGGGAGCCAAGCGGATACTGCTAGTCCGCGGCTGGCAAGACTTCCTGAAGTCTGGCATCGTCCCCTGTCCACCTTCCTTGCGCTCGGGTCGGTGGGTAAACGGAGGCCTTTCCCGTTCCTGTCGGCCCGATCGCGTCCAGCTGCAGAGCCATGCCTGGCGCAGGGAGCCCCGAGAAGCATCGCATGGACTCGGAGGGCTCCCCCAGCTGCAGCGGCCGCTCGACTTCAAGGACGCGCTCTTCCAAGTCCCACTCGAGGGCGCCCGAGCGCCGCAAGGCGCCCCCCAGCGGACCGTGGACGGCTGGTTCGCCCTGGTGCGGCAGCGCCTCCTTTTGGCCACGCTGGTCCTCCAGGTCGCCGGGGAAAAGGCGACAGGAAGACCTCCAACGAGGAGATCTGGCGCCAGCGGGCAGCGGATGCGGCTCTCCAGATGCAGAGAGACGGGATCGACCTCGACATGCTGGCCACGTTCCCCTCGCAGGGCGCTGGTGAGGCGGGAGTCGTGGAAACTGCTGCCAGGGACGCTGCCGCTGGAGCCAGGGACGCTCCCTGCCCAGCTGATGGCGTCGGTGGTGACCCGTGGAGGACCTACCTGGACAACGGCGGGGCCCCCCCTGGGCCACGCGTCGACACTGGGACCCAGCCGTGGCCATCCTCCCGCCCATGCTGCTCCTCAGCGTGACCAGCGGCATGGCGCAGCTCCTGTGGTCTCCTCTGCGGCGACGGCGGCTGGTGATGCTGGCGGCGCTGCGGATGCTGTCATGCCCAACTCCACCCAGGCCGTCTTCCTCCAGCAAGTGCAGGCCGCCATCACCTCTGCCGTCACGTCCGCGGTCGTCGCCAGCGTTGACGCCACCCTCACGGCGGGCCTGGCGCAGATACAGGGAGTCATGGAATCGCGCGTCGGCGTCGTGGAAGGGCGCCTTCATGGGATTGAGCAGAAGCAGGTCGACATCGAGAGGCAGCTGCGTGCGGACATCGCGCAGCTTCGCGAGCAGATGGGCATCATGGCGCGAGCAGAGCCCTGTGCTGCCCCTGCTGGCCCTGACTGGGGCCGCCCTCCAGACCTCTCTGCGGTGGTCGTGCGGTGCAAGGAGGAGCTCCCCGCGGCAACCTTCAAGCAGGTCATCGACCCCCTCCTCGCGGAGGCTGGCATGGGTCCCGACTCGTTCGTGGTGGAGGCGGAGCCCCTCGGCAAGCGCTGCGTCTACCGCTTCAAGGGCCCCCCCGAGTTCGGGGCCAGGCGGGCTGCTAAGGTGCTGGGGTGTATGCGCCTTGGCCGTGGTGAGTGGCGCAAGCCGCGCGCCGCGACGCCTGCTGGCCACGAGGTGGACATCTATGTGGCGCCCGACCAGAAACGCAAGCACGTGCTGCACGAGCCCGCGCTCAAGAAGCTCGCCGTCGCGCTGGGGCGTGTCATCGGCGACGGGCACCGCGTCTTCGTGGACAAGCAGAAGTTCTCCCTCTCGCCCCAGTGGAAGGCCTTCCTCCGCCTCACCATCGACGGCCCCAGCTCCACCCCAGTGGTGGCCTGGTCCCCGTCCGCGCTCGCGGCAATCGGGCTGCGACGTGAGGGCCTTGCACCGACGGTCGAGGCGGCTTTGGCTCCTGGCGATGGTGACTGGTGCCTTTAGCACGTTCGTCAAGCTCTTTGTCGCCCCGATGAGCAAGTAGCTCACCTTCGCCACCTGGAATGCCAGAGCACTCTGTCACCACAAGGCGAACGTGGCGGCACGCAAGAGCAACTACCTAGGGAATGCACTCCGAGCTGGGGCTATCGTTGGTATGCAGGAGGTCCACGGGTCGGCCGTGCGCCTGCGTATGTTGATAGATCGCTTGGGGACGGACTACCAGATGTTCCACTCCTTCGGTGACATTGCTGACGAGTCTCTCGGCAGCGTTGCCACCATCTTCCCCTTCAAGATGCGCGCGGGCATGGACCTTCGCAAGACGTGCTGCATCAAGGCTCGGGTGATCCGCGTCACGGCCACGATCACGGACGGGCCCTACGCTGGTTTCACACTGAAGCACTGGAACATCCATGACCACGACCTCTCACGCGAGCAGGTGCGGCGTGTCGCTGGCGAGATCCAGGCCGATCTACGTGACATGGAGATGGATCCGAGGAGGTGCTGTGTTGTGATCGTGGGCGACTTCAATTACGGCGAGAATGCTGAGGTGGAGGGCCTTCTGGTTCCTGGAGGCGGGCGCAGGGCCGCCTCGCACCCCCGCGGTCGCGCATGGGCACACTCGCTCAGTGCTGCGACGGAGATGATCCCTCACAAACCGACGCACTGGCACCCAGGCAGACAGATCGCCACCTCGATCGACAAGATATGGATTGGTTCCCCACGCTGGTTACTCACGCAGACCTATCAGCATGGTCAGGTGCATGGAGAGCCCCACGAGATGCACCTCGACGGGCTCTCGGACCACGCGATGTTCTCGGTAGCATGGACTCCTCGCCCACCGAGAAAGAGACCTACCACGGGCGTCAGCAACCCTGTCCCGTCCTTCGTCTCTGAGAATCCGCTGTTCGGCGAGATGATCAGGAAGTGCGAGCTCGCGGTCCCCCTGGATGGTCTCTCTTCTCCTGGTCGGGTGCACTGCCGCACGAAGATACTGCAGACTGCTGCGGCCGCCACCCGTGACGCCATTCCTCGTGGTGGGCCTGGTTTGCGGTCGCCGGCGGCGCTGATCTGGAGACAACTTGGTCGAGCGATATCGCGGCAGGACATTCGGATGGCTGAGGCCCTACTGCGCCAGCATGCATGGACAAGCCAGATGGTCGAACTTCGCCATCACCCAGGTCATGGCAGTGCCCAAGTGGTGCTCCTCGACCCTCCGGGATTCTCTCGTCGTTACCGTTTGGCGCAACGCCGTGAGCTGCACGCGCTACTCCGCCAGCATCAGCATGACATAGACGGGGAACGGCACGAGTCTAACAAGGCAGCGCTGGTCAGGCAGCAGAGGGCCCTACGCCGACGTGCGGCCATCTGGGCGCCGTCGTCGGCCCGACGTTTCCTGGGGGGCATCGAGCTGGAAGATGGCTCGGTTGCGCGATCGGAGCAAGATATCCAGAGGGCGCTCGCGAACTACTGGCGAGGCGTCTTCGGCGACGACGTGGTCAAACGGAAGCAGTCTGCGGAGGAGATGATGCGCAACCTTGCCACCAACGCGAACGGCGCCCCCATGACCTTCCAGGACGGCGTCATGGTACCCCTCCCACGAGATGCTCCTCGTGCTGCTCAGCGTCGACGGGAACTCCAGGATGGCTATCTCCGACGCTATGGCATCCAGGGAGCTGACTGGGCCTCGATCGAGCCCCCCTCGGCACACACCGTGGCCTTGGCTCTCCGCAAGGCCCGTAAATCGGCGCCTGGCCCTGACGGCCTCGGCGCTAAGGCCTGGCTCGCCACGCCGCTGGGGGTCGAGACGCTGGCGGAAGCAATGGCGTGGCAGCTTGAGGGCCTACCCATGCGCCAGGAGTGGAACTACTCCATCGCCGTCCTCCCCGCCAAGGGGACGCGTTCTGATGACCCTCAAGAAGTCCTCGGGCGCGCCAGTGAGACTCGGCCGCTGGCGCTGGGGAACACCTCCAAGCAGGCCGTCATGCATGAAGAGAGTGGCGGAGCGGCGCTGCGTGGACACGCAGCGCGGCTTCATATGCGGGCGCAACTTTTGCGACAACATAGTCGAGCTAGACACGCACTCTCGCGCGCTGTCCACGGCTGCAGGATGCGCCGACTCCCCCTTCTTCATCTCCTTCGACTGGGGACAGGCCTTTCCGAGCATCGCGCAGGACTGGCTCTTCGGCTCGCTGCGCGCCATGGCCGCTCCCTTGGGGCTCCAGGACGCGCTGAAGGTCAACTACGACGGAGTCGTCTCCCTAGCGGCCCCTCGCACGAGGGCGGCGCTCTACTCGGTGCGCTCGGGCATCCTCCAGGGCGACCCCGCCAGCGGCACGCTGTTCGTCCTCGCCGTCCACCCGTTCGGCCAGGACCTGAAGTCCAACCTGGACTCCAAATTTCGGGGCATCTCGAGGTGGTGCGCCGACGACCTGGGCGCGGCGGTGATGGCCCAGCGTGGGCTGCTCACGCTGGCACGAGTCTTCCGCGGCGCGAAGCTCCTGGCGGGCCTGGTGATCAAGCCTGCGAAGTGTCGTGCCATCCCGCTGGGAGACCCGCAATGTGCTGGCGCGCGGGAGCGGGCGCGGGACTCCCTGGTGGCCGCGGACAAGGACTGGGAGGCGTTCCCCATCGTGGACCACCTCGAATACTTGGGCGTGCTGCTGGGCCCTGGTGTGACGCAGGAGGCTCAATGGCGTGCACCGATGAGGAAGTACTCCGAGCGCGTCGGGGAGATCTCCAGGCGCCGCGCGGACGTGCATGCGGCCATCCACCTGTACAAAGAGCGCTGCGTGCCCGTCCTCTCGTACAAGGCGCAGATGATGGAGGCCCCCGCCTCACTGAAGAAGCTCGAGCGGGGGAGGCTGGCGCACCTGCTGCGCCTTCCAGGCAGCTTCCTGGGCGACGGGGAGTGGCGCGAGCTCAACGCCATCGGCGGCCCGCAGATCCCGTCCGCCACGACCCTGTGCGAGGCAGCCCTCGTGAGGGCGGCGGTGGTCACGCTGGGCTCCTGGCGCACGGCTGCGCGGCAGCTCCGTGGGGCTGCGCTGCGGCACCTGCCACTGGTGCGCGCGATCCGCGGATGCCCGTGGCCCTGCTGGTGGCGATCTGAGGCCATCGCGACGACGCTGGAAAGAGCGGCG